TCACTGACATCAGCAACATCAACATCAACAACAACAACAATAGCATCAGCAGGAACAACAACATAACAAATGTGTAGCAGGAACAAGAGCAGCAGCAACACATACGATTTTCATAATAAATTTATGCCTTTTGTTGTTGACAGGCCTCGTTCTGGTATTCGTTGGCTGTGTACCGCTGGGGTGTTGACAGGACCTATGCTGAAGTGGCCACGAATTTGTTGCTGTCAAGTGTTTTTAACAGATTCCATGGGAAAAAAATTATGCTAACCAATTTGTTGTGGGTTGAAGTTTTCTAAAATTTCATTTTCTTACTTTAGGGAATTACGAAATTTTAAAAATGGGCAAAAGTTCCTTAAATAGAAAAAACAATTTTAAAAGGAATTTTGATAGACCCCATTTCGCTGGGCGTATTGTAACGAAAAGCCTTTTTAGGTTGGATGATAATAATGACCCTGTTTTTGGTTGAATAAAAATAAAGTATTATTATTAATGTTAGGGGAATTCGCACTGTAACCAAGAGATCTACTTCATTAATTTAAAATATTTTCAAAATCCTGCCTTCTCTATAAATTGCAGTGCTGTAGATTTCATTTTTTCATCTGATGTAAGATACCAAACTAGGTCATTATTCATGAATTAATTTCACAGCTGAACCCACATTAGAAATTTTTGTTTCTTCATTCGATATGAGATGCCAACCTGGATACTACTTAATCTATAAATTCCATTCAATATAAGAGGCCTGCACAGGTACCACTTCATCTATAAATTGCAGTGCTACATCTACATTACAGAAATTTATTTCTTCATCCGATATCAGATGCCCACCAAGGTACAACTTCATCTATAAATTGCAGTGCTGACATTACATTAAAAAGTTTTATTTCTTCATCCGATTTGTGTTGCCCAACTAGATATTATTTTTTACGCATCAGTACAAACTCCTTGCACGCGTTTTAAGGTCTCATTCTACTTCCCACACAAAATCTAGCAGTTTCACTAAGTTCTCAGTTTTTAAGGTAACAACTTATTTTACAGTCCCGGTAATTATTCTTAAATTCCTTAAATTCAATTAAGTACAAAATTCAAATGATTCTTATAAGCTATTCCAATTGTTATAACCCTGGTTAATCCTCCCAGTATAGAAAAATAGAAGGAAAATAGAGCAAGTAATATTAACTTATTAGATAATAATGCAAAATATCCGTTTTCAAAAGAACAAAGAGAGAAAAATAGTATAGTCCATTTTATTAAGAAAGATCATCACACAAATAACAGACTAAATATGAACACAAGTAAAGATGTTAGCAAAGTCCTATGGGTTAATTTTGTATCATAAAGAGAATTTTGAAAAGAACAAAAAATATGGTAATCATATTGAAGTTGCAGGAACGTTTGATGTACACTTTTGATAAAATATAGAATAATATAAAATCTAAAGAATCAGTTTATAAGACTACTCTTAATCTGAACCGATATAAATAAAATATTGCACATTCACCCATTCTGTACACTTTTATTAATACATTGTTATTAAAAACGGAGAAGACTCATATTCAATTGTTTAGTTAAATGACAGCTTTTTTATTCAAAAATCTTTATTGTAAATGTAAAAATCTTATACCCAATTTTTAGGTTTATATAGCCGTAGACTGATCAAGGTCTATATCCGAAAGGTATATAAAATTTTATTGAAATATCTTAAAAATTGAGGAACTGGTTTCAGATAAACTGAGCAAACTCAATTTATAGAGCTGATCATGAATATCTATATATATTACTGAGTCTATCATATCTTAAATCTTGACAAACCTTATACACCCTTTTTACACTTTTTTGTTTATAAAAGGCTAATGCCTTTTTTACTGAAATGGACTGACCAAGTCTCCGAAGTTAATACACACAAACAGCATTATCTCTTTCAGAAATAATGAATCACTTTAGAAATAATGAATCACTTAGTATAACAAGTATCCATTTTAAAAGGACCATATAACTTTTGGTACGTACAATAACAACTGAATAAAAAAAAGAAAGTACTATATTTTTCCGTTAGATTTAATTGAATATATATAGGGATCATACAATTATCATACATGTAATATATCTTGAAAATTTCACATTTAAAAAAAATATTAAATAAATATTCAGATCCAGAAATTTCGAGAGTAGACGATAACCGTACTACCACTACTCATAGTCATAAATTTATTTTGGGGTATGGCTTTAAAGCGTATTGGATAACGAACTTATACAGCTCGTACCGGAAAATTTAATCTGTGATGAATCATTGAAATATAGAGGAAAACAGCCCGTAACCAAATATTTATTTTAGGGTAAGACTTTAAAACATAGAGGATAGCAATACAACTGCAACCCGTAGCCAAATATTTATTTTGGGGTAGGGGTTTAAAACATATTATAGAAGATAACATTTCTACCACAGCCCGTAGTCGTAAATTCATTTTGGGATAGGTCTTTAAAGCGTAGTGGATAACGGAGCTACGCAGCCCATACTCCGGAATTTACTTTGTCGTTGGGTCAAAATTTTAGATCAGCTTTTGTTTACCATTAAATTTTGTCATGAAATATTTGTATTGAAAATACATACGTAATAAGATTCTTTTTGCTACTCAAGCCCCCTAAAAATAATGAAAATACATATGTATATTCATCTTGATAAGACATGAGGAAGCGAAATAAATCTAAGATCATTTTTATATTCATAAAGAATGCATCATGACACGACCGAATAGTAAAGAAATAAATAATAATTTTCGATGTAGAATTTTGAATGCCCCACTCTGATGTGAACTTCAGTTATCTAAACTTTTTCCCCTCTCAGATATTTATTTGGTACTACATTAATAAAAATAAAAAGATATTAAATTCTTTTTCATTTCTTTCATTTTTATTTAATTGAATTTTTTCTCAGTTTTGTTTGTCAATTATCCTTTTCGTTAGCCTTTTATAAAAACGGAATCCTGTTAAACTATCTTCCAGTCAACTTAACGCAACAAGTATGAAGCACTGTAAGGATATGCACTATAAGCGGCAGCATAGGGAGAAGCAGCTACGTAGTTGGAGTAATAGGGTGAAGCGTAGGCGGCGGTGTAAGCAGCAGTGTATGGTGCAGCAGCGACATAAGGAGCAGAGTATGCCAATGGTGCAACCACAGCTGGTTTAGCAGCTGCAATGGCGAAGATGGCCAAGAAACACAAAGCGAACTGTGAAAAATAAGTTTATTAAAATTTAATTGTTATGCTGAGAACCGAGCAGGTCCTGCCAAGTGGTTTAAGACTGCTCAAAGCGGTACTTACGAATTTGAACATTTTAATTGATTTGGTTGGTTTTTTTTAGTTGTGGTTTGGTTCGTTTAATTGAACTGATAACATTTCCAATAAATGACAACGCTTATATACAAAATTTTTGCGGAGGTTTCGATAATAAAAATACTCAAAACCGTTTCTATATGAGGTTTTATAAATTAAATTCTATTTAGTTATGGTTTACCACGTCGTGGCTTCGCTGAGGTCAAATACACATATCAAAGCATTAAAATCGAAATTAAAATTAAAATATTTTCAAATTTTAACCAAAAACATTTCATTTAAATGAGATTGTTTAATTTATAAATGCATGGCACATTCTTGGGTACTTGTTTTTTTTTTTTCAATCTCTTATTGATTTATTTTTTTTCATATATTTTTGGTCATTTATTTTTCGTGCTTTTTTCAGGGATTAAATTTAAAATTGGTTTTTATTGCTTTTGAAATATTTTTTGTTAATTTGTTAAGTTAAATATTTTAATTTATTTATGCTAATTAAGTTGAGTGAAGTAATTAAACACAAATTGAACTGGAACTTTTAAGTGCTGCCAGCAGAAATTGCCCAACAAATTAAAGCACACAGCCACGAAGGATACTCTTATCTCTGTGAAGAGAAGCAGAGCAAAGGATGTCACTTCAATCCATAACTATGTTCTACTGGTATTAGTATGAGTTGGCATATTCATCCTCTTAGTTGAAGAATAAAAGGATTAGATTTAGAATTTTATGCCAACTATTTCACAGGGTCTAATACCCAAATTACCTTTAACAAATGACAAAGTAATTAATTTAATCACATCAAATGTCAAATTTTGTTACTAACACCAACCGGTGAGGTGCCTACTATGAAGTCTCTGGTGTAAATTTGTTTTACAACAACTACTATCAAAAAAACAACAACAAGAACAACAATGATGTTGTTTATACCCAGTATATATTAAATGGTTGTCAAAAACAAAATCATACTTTGCATACGAAATTAGTTGGGTTAGTGTCGCCCTTTCGAATGTAAGTCAGGCGGCTTATGGGCCAATAATGCCAATTGTTGGCACATGTTTACTGGGCTTAAGAAATATACAATATACAAAAACAAAACAAAAACTACAAAAAAACCACATTATTTTATCTATTTTACTTTAAACAATTTGGCATATGTTTTTGTTTTCGTTGTAGAATTTTTAGTGCAAACATTTAACTTTAAATAAATAAACGACAGAATTGACACGACAAGGTGACAAAATCGATTTATTTGCTCATAATTGTATCTGGCACAATGCACCTTACGCCTTGGCTATGCGATGTGCTGTGCTGTGCTGTGCATGGCTATGACAGAAAGGTTAAACCTTTAGGAAAATAATATAAAATAATAAACTTGGCTTGCCAAAAATAAAAAAAAATTATATGTTTTTATATTTCTAACTCATATCTTCCGCAACAATTAAAAACTAAGCACGTTGCCAAATAAATGTACAAAAAAAAATAATGTCCCCTCTTTAACTTTTTGTCACATATTACCTTTAATATCAGAAATAATGTCACATAATTGCATTAAATTAATTTGTTCGAAATCACAATTTTGGTATATATACTCGTCTGAGCTCAATCAAAAAATCAACAGTTTCTTGACTTCTGCTTAAGTAACAACCAAACTTCCAAAACCAAAACAACAAAATGTTTAAATTCGTAAGTACCAACTGAGGAGCCTTAAATCACTTGGCAGGACCTGCTCGGTTCTCAGCGTAACAATTAAATTTTAATAAACTTATTTTTCACAGTTCGCTTTGTGTTTCTTGGCCATCTTCGCCATTGCAGCTGCTAAACCAGCTGTGGTTGCACCATTGGCATACTCTGCTCCTTATGTCGCTGCTGCACCATACACTGCTGCTTACACCGCCGCCTACGCTTCACCCTATTACTCCAACTATGTAGCTGCTTCTCCCTATGCTGCCGCTTATAGTGCATATCCTTACAGTGCTTCATACTTGTTGCGTTAAGTTGACTGGAAGAAAACTTAAAAGGATTTAATTTTGTGAAACACTAAAGGCTACGATAATGGACATGCAAACAAAAATTAATTGAACAATTTAAAAATTAATAAAAACAAAAGGAAAAACTAATCTTTAATATTATTTTATTTTCTGAAACTATTGGCAGCTTAGAGAAAATCAGTCGCTTGGCTATGAGTACATAACCTCTGACAAAATAACCTCTGGATTAACTGACAAAATTAACAGTGTTGTACTCAAGGGAGTAGATAAATGAATAGGTCCCTCTCGAGATAACATGATACATAATAACAAAATGAAAAATATATATATATCTATTACCCCGCCCCCTTCCAGTATATTTGCTTGCTGGTCACAGTCGTTAAGAGATTCATGGTAGAAGATTGGAACTGCTTTCTAATCGCTACTGTCACAATTGTGGAAAGGATGGTGAAAGTGTTTAGGGGTTTACTTTTTTAGGAACTTTGGTCAACTCTAAGATCACACTTACACTAAAAAAACTGCGAAAATTCTACCAAAAAAATATATTTTCTAGTACATCAAGTTGAACTTGAAAGTAAAGGGTTTGTAAAAATTGAAGAAACTTGGACGAAGAAGAGACAATCTCATATGACTAACAGAAAAAAAAGATTTTTCTGAATATGTGTTTTTGACATAAGTGACATAAGCTAAAGTAAATGTTTCTGGCTTACCTACACACGTTCTTGATAAGACTCAGGATTCTTGCAAGGTTGTGATACGAACACGACGAATAAATGATAATTAATAAGGGGAAGGAAAATATGCCGATCAGCTAGTGCAACCATTCAACCAACAAACCAATTTGGTTTAGATAAACCAGTATGTGATCAGTTATGACATCACTACTATATCAGAAACTCTGAACTTATTGTTACAGCAGTGATGCATCGTTAATTAGTGATTATAAAGAAGTAGCAGTTTTATTAGTAAATTAGTTTTAGAATTAGTAGTGACGTTTTCTAAAATTAGTGGCACCAAATACCAATTACTTTTGTAGGCATATGGTAAAAGCCTATTCTTTCGATCCCTCATTGATCAAATTTCCATTTTCATATCGCTATGTTATTTACAAGGAACTGGATGAATCCATATGCATTTTGGAATAGATTTTTTATATGTAATGTTATATTTTTTATATATGTATAACTAGTGATGTTTCTAATTTAATAACAACAGTAAGAAGCAAAGTATAACTGTGCTTGATAACGCTAAGTTCTTGACATATTAAATTTTTTCGAATGTGAGAGAAAATCTTGGAATATACATAAAGGTTAATATGGAACAATAAACTGTAGACAATAGTGAATGAAAATAACAATAATAGATAAAACAACATCAAGTTGTACATATTCATGAATGAATATAACACCATATTTTTACAACATAACCAACATGTTTTAATCTCTGTTGACGTGATGAAATATTAATTTGATAGGTTTTAAGTCCTAATACTTGCAAACTAAATATTATATACGGACATAAAACTAACAGATGTTTCAAAATGGTTATAAGTATGTACCATATTGATAATGGATATTTGTTAGTAACTGAAATAGCTGTACGGTTTGCTTAAGAGTTTTCTTGATTATATACGAATAATTAAAACAGTGATTCGTAACCAGTGGACCGCGAGATGATTGAAAATGGTCTATGAATTAAATTTTCAGTTATGGATACATAGCTAGTAGTTGTTCATTGAGACCTCATTGATTAAAAAATAAGCACAAACAATTTCCAAATAATTACATATCTATTTTATAGCCTATATATATACCTATGTACTTGTACTATGTACTATGTACAATTCATTATACATCATACCAGAGATGTATAAAACATATTACAATAACCATACAGTTTATTATTTTTAAACTTTGTGGTTTCTACAAAAAACAAAAATATCCACTGAATTAAACCAATATATGTTTCTAAACATCATACTCTTAATGAATATATGACAGTAAGTGAAATAGCTGTATGGTTAGCCCCAGAATTCTCTTTATTATATACAGACAATTAAATTAATTAATGTTCCAAAGATTTTACTTGTATTTGATTATATCCGGAACAGCTGTGTGGCCAGCCCAAGTATTATCTTTATTAAAAATTAAGTTTTTAATCCATTGTTGTGAATTTACACTCCAGATACGTATTTAAAATTACCAAAATTTGTCTGTAGTGAACATACTTATTTTAAGCTGTCAATTGTAATTTGGAGAGGATACCTCATACAATCGATATACCTCATACTTTCGAGAAATATCTCCGAAAAACGCCAGTTGGATTTATTTTAGTTCTAGTTTTATTAGTGAAAGTAGCGTTATTTATACATACATATAATAAAATAATCAAAATTTAACATCCATTTCTCTCTATTGCGATTATCTATTCTATCCAAAAATAGATTTCTTGTTATAGAACATAAAGCATTTAATTCCTTAATAAACTAATTAATTATTTAAAGCGCTTAAGATTTTCCATTCTATACTCAATTTGTAAAACAAATTATTTGTATTCATCGGAAGCATTTCATCTGATATTTACAGAAAATTATCTTGTTATGTGCACTTAATATTAAATATACTTAACAAAACCGAGGAATATAATTTGAAATTCCTTTTGTTACGAATCCACATTTGGCATACTTAACTAAATTAAATGCTTAAGATTCCGGTCACATATAAAAATAAGAATAAATAAGCATCAACTGAGAAAATTTCTTTATGCACTTAAGCCACAATTAGCCACAAATCTGGTACATTTTGCCGAATTAGCACAACTTATGTTGCTTTACTAGCAAAGAGCATAATTAATGGCTAAGACAACGGCAGAAGTGACCTAAACCATGCCACGCCAAACCAAACCAAACCAAGCAGAGGCTGATGCCGATGCCGATGCCGATACCGATGCTGAAGGAAATCAAGTGCACCGGAAGAGTGGAAAAGTGCTTCAACGAATTCCCACAGACTTCAACAAATATCAGCAAATTTTAAGAATGAATGCGTTGATTAAGTGCAACGCCCACACAAATGTGCTGCACTTTGCTAAAATTTTGCTGCTTACAGTCGTATGTGCCGTGTTAAATGTGAAATGCACTTAAGTCAATAATCGAACTGCGAATTACGGACGGCAGCAGGAAGAGCACAACTGGGATTGGGACTTGGTACAAGCAGCAACGAATGTTGAGGAAATGCATAAAATCACAGTAAAATGCTATTGGCTGCAATTAAAATTCAAAGTGCAACATGCAACTCTCGGAAACATTGGCGAGTAAAGTTAAAGCAACTAAAATCACTAGAAACAACTGAAAGGATTTTCTGTTCAGAAAAAACCAAAACAAAAAGTTCTTTTTGAGATTTCGTTCGTTTGCTAGCAACGCAAACTTTTGTCATGTTTTGCTAAATCCTTATAAGCACCTCCAATGCTATGTCCAGCAACACAGCTGAGACTATTTTATTCTACGGTACTCCATAATGCAATTTTTTCTTTCTTTCAATCTCAAGTTTAATGCAAAATTCGATTGAATTTCGAATTCTTCGTTTGAAACTATATATGCTCCACATCGTTCCTTCCTTCGTTCCTTTTTCAATTCTAGCACTTTTATGGATTTGTTTAGCTCTCACTTAGGCATTCCATTAAGGGAGAATGCTCATACATATAAGCATATCAGTAATGATTTGTTTTTTTTTGTTTATTTTAAAATAGCATCCATCCTTCTGTGCGGTTGGCGCTACTTCGATTTCGCATTCGTGAAACCTTTCTGTGATTGAAGAACATTCGATGTTTGTGGGTTTGTTAAGGTTTTGTTTAGATTTTCCATTTTTTAGGCAGTACTTCAGTACTTTTTGTGCACCCCTCGTACTGTACGTATTTCGTTTGCTGTCAGTAGTTGGCAATCGTGCTTTTGATTTTTAATTTTACGTTTTCTATTTTCAAATGAAACATGCCATAAAACAATTTTGCTTTGGGTCATTTAATTTCATTATGAATTGTAAATGTTGCATCCTTGATTGGCTGCCACAGTTGCTGATTTATGTTGGCATTGCTATGGCCGATAAGGCAAAGTCTGCGAGTCTAAAAGATATTTTTTTTGCATTTGCTGTGTTTGAAAAGGATATTGAGTTAGGAATTCATACATCTGGTATTTCATTTTAAAAACAAAAATGTCATTTGATTTCACTAAAGTAAATTAACTTCTTCAATTATTAAAATGCACCCACAAAGGGTAGGGAGTTATAAAACTAATAGATAATTGAAAACGTAAAATATATTGAACTTTTAGTCATATGTTATATATCGTTGAATGTAGCAATTTTCTAACAAAATTAGTCATAAGTTAATATTATATCATGGTGTTATTTATGGGTTTTGACATTACCAAGCATCCACAATGTAAATCTTAAGTCGAAATTTATACTTACATAGATTGAAATATATTCAAACTTAGAGAACCCTTAAGCTTATTATTGTATTCGTTTTTTTTTCAGTCTTTAACAGTTTTAACGGTTTTTGTAATACAAAAATATACAGGGATTTATCTTTATTATGAAAAATATGGTTATACTGGAAAAATCAAAAAAACTGGTACATTAATTTAAAAACTAATACTATGTTTCCACTTGTCTCATTTAGGCAGTTTTGCTCATTATAGCCATTAATGAGGATAATTTACTATACAAACAGCTTTCATAAAAATGAGCTCATTAGAAATAAATGACATGATTTAAGGCGAAAAATTTCGAATACAACCCTTAAGAACAAATTTCCCATAAGGGAAATTACTAAAATTTGAATTATTTGTCTAGCAAAATATTAAACCGAGATTTTTATTAAGATCTGTTGAAAAAATTAGAAGCAAAATGTGCACTAAAAAATCCAGTTCACAGAAAAAATAAATAATTTTCCATCACAAAATTATATACATCATTGGTAAATTCAATTAATTAAAGTACAAAACCTTGTAAGAACTATCTCAATCTCAACTTCTAGAATTAGCCCCTCCTTTCTTGGACCTCGAAAATA